TATATATACAGCTAGCTATAAATAGATATACAGCTAGCTGCACACACAGGCAGCTAGTTGTATAGAACTGTAGCTAGCTATATAGACCTACAGCTAGCTATAAGGGGCTGCTGCAGCTAGCTGGCTAGCTATCAAGTGCTGCATGCTGCTGCTGCCGCTGCTGCTGCCGCTGTTGCTGCTGCTGCTGCTGCTAGCCTCCAATTGCCACGGCTAGCTAGCTGCAAGGAGGCGCAGCTAGCTAGCTGCTAATAGAGGCAAACAGCTGCAGCTAACTACATATCGCTGCAAACAGCTACAGCTAGCTATAGCTAGCTGCTGCTGGCTGCTGCTGGCTGCTGCTAGCTACAGCTAGCTATAGCTAGCTGCTGCTAGCTGCTGCTGGCTGCTGCTAGCTACAGCTAGCTACAGCTAGCTGTATATAGCTGTAGCTAGCTACAAGTAGCTGCAGCTATCTGCGATTAGGTGCAGCTAGCTACAGCTAGCTAGCTACAGCTAGCTATACAGCTAGCTGCAGGTAGCTATAGCTAGCTGTATACAGGGGTACAGCTAGCTATACAGACCCATAGCTAGCTGCAGGCTGCCTTTTGTATATGTCATGGATACTCGCAGCCTCTTTATCTTGGATTCAGCTTCTGCACTGCAGCAGCAGCAGCAGCAGCAGCAGCAGCAGCAGCACCTGCTGCTGCTGGTGCTCCTGCTGTTTAATTCGCGCTGCTGCAGCAAGAGAGAAAAGAAGAAAAGAAAATCAATTCAATATAACAATTGATCAAACAGACGCTGCCACTTTGCTGCTGCTGCTGCTGCTGCTGCTGCTGTTGCTGCTGCTGTTGCTGCTGTTGCTGCTGTTGCTGCTGTTGCTGCTGCAGCACGAACAAGTAGTGATGAGCCGTCTGTTGCTGCTGTTGCTGCACATATATCACTGCGGATTGTTTGCTACCTGCTGCTGCTTGCTGCTGCTGCTGCTTGCTGCTGCTTGCTGCTGCTGTTGCTTACTGCTGCAGCTGCTGCTTACTGCTGCCGCTGCTGCTTACTCCTGCAGCTGCTCCTTGTTGCTGCAGCAGCTGCTAGTTGCTGCTGCTGCTACTGCTGCTGCCGACAGGGTAGCTTCATTATCGACAGGTGGGGGTCCTACGAGAGACTCGGAACAGCAGCAGCAGCAGCAGCAGCAGCAGAGGCAGCTGCACTAGCAGCAGCTGCTGCTGCAGCAGCAACAGCAGCAGCAGGAAGTGGTGAAGAAGGACAAAGCAGGGCGCGCTACGGTGCTGCTGCTAGCACCCCAATTCGCCAGCAGCAGCAGCAGCAGCACCAGCAGCAGCAGGCAGTGGCAGCAAGCTTCCGCTGCGCTGACTGCTTCTACTGCTGCTGCTGCTGCTGCTGCTGCTGCTGCATGCATTGCTGATTGGGCTTGCAGTATTGTTGTTGTTATCTCATTTGCTGCTGTTGCCTTTGTTGCTGCTGCCTCTGTTGTCTTTGTTGCTGCTGTCTGCTTCTTTGTTGCTGCACAGCATCTCCTTGTTGTCTGCTGCTCGTAGCACCTTGCTGCTGCCGTTGCTGCTGCTGCGGCTGCTGCTGCTGCTGCTGCTGCTGTTCCTCTTCCTCTTGCTGGCTTGTTAATCCTATACTAGCTATACATACACCCATCTGCTGCTGCCATAGCTGCTGCAGCTCCCCTACTAACTGCGGCGCAGCAGCAACAAAGGATTGGGCTGTACCTACAGCTCTCCTGCATGCCTCTATAGCAGTAATAGGTAAGGTAGGTAGCCGGAAGCTCTGCTGCTGCTGCTGCTGCTGCTGCTGCTGCTGATGGTGGTGATGATGATGGTGGTGATGGGTACGCTGCTGTTGCTGCACTGCTAGGTAATTACGCTCCTGACGCTGACGCTGCTGCTGCTGCTGCTGCTGCTGCTGCTGCATCTCCATTAGGCTCTGTGCTGGAGGCTGCAACATCTGTAGCAACCACAGATACACTACAAACCCTAAACCCTAAACCCTAAACCCTCAATATCCGACGGTGCAGCAACAGGATCAACAGCAGAATAACCATCAGCAACAGAACCACCATTAGCAGCAGCAGCAGCAGCAGCAGCTGCTGCTGCTGCTGCTGCTGCAGGAGAGGGAGTACGTACTGGATGTTTAAGTAATCTAAGACCTAATATACAACGAACATCTCTTGCTGCTCTTAATGCATGCAAAAGGGGAAGAAGACAAAGAAGTTGCTCATCTGTCTCGCTACCACACCATCCTCCTATATGAACAAAATTCTCTGCAAAAAAAAAAAAAAAAAATATTTATAAACCCTAAACCCTAAACCCTAAACCCTAAACCCTAGAAAAAAATTCTTCAGGGAGAATTTAAGGACACAAAGGAGAAAACTAAAAATTTAGGGTTTAGGGTTTAGTCTATGGCTCATATGATTATATGGGCTACAAAAAAAAAAAAATTTTCTAGGGTTTAGGGTTTAGCTAGGGTTTAGGGTTTAGCTAGGGTTTAGGGTTTAGGGTTTACCTTGGCAATGAGTTCCTGCAACAATTGAATCATCAACAAGAAGAACTTTAGATAAATCTGTCCTGCATTTACTCAAGTCCTTTACGTACCCAACATCTAATAAAAAAAAAAGAAAAAATAAATAAATAAATAAATAAATAAATAAATAAATAAATAATAAATAAATAAAAAGAAAAAAAGAGAGGGACAACAAGAGACTTAAAAAAGAGACAGAAAATCACACAATGGGAGATACAAGGAGACAAAAAGGAGACAAAAAAGGACACAAAAAGGAGACAAAAAAGGAGACAAAAAAGGGGACAAAAAAAGGAGACAAAAAAGGAGACAATTAAACAGACAAAGGGAGACAAGAAGGAGACAGAAAAGGAGACACAACAGGAGACAAAGGGAGAAAAGAAGGAGACAGAAAAGGAGACAGAACAAGAGACAAAAAAAGGAGACAATTAAACAGACAATTAAACAGACAATTAAACACAAAAAAGAAGACAAAAAGGAGACAAAAAAAGGAGACAAAAAAGGAGACAAAAAAAGGAGACAAAAAAGGAGACAAAAAGGGAGACAAAAAAAGGAGACAATTAAACAGGCAAGGGGAGACAAAAAGGAGACAAAAAGGAGACAAAAAAAGGAGACAAAAAAAGGGGACAATTAAACAGACAATTAAACAGACAGAAGGGAGACAAAAAAGGAGACAAAAAAGGAGACAAAAAGGACAAAAAAGGAGACAAAAAAGGAGACAAAAAAGGAGACAAAAAAGGAGACATACCTGTTAGAATACAATCACTACGTGAGAAAACTCGATCAACATAATGAACTAAATTTGTTGCATCTAAGGAAAAAAAAAAGGAGACAAATAAATAAATAAATAAATAAATTAATTAATTAATTAATTTAAATAATTAAATTATTAATTGGCTCATTAAGGGGACAAGAAAGATATAATAGATAAAAGAAAAAATCCCTAAAAAAAAAAAAAAAAAAAAAAAAAAAAAAAT